CTTCTAAAAAACTGATGCTCTAACATATATAATATGTAATTTATGTATTTCAAAAATAAATATATTTATCTCCTACAAATTCCTTTAATTCAAAATTTCTATTGATGCTATCGCTTCAATAACGGAAACTTAATTGCCATAATAAACAATTTAACCTACAGTTTATATTTGTTCAACTCTCAGCTGAATTAACTAAATTCACCAGCTGCTATCTGTGCAATTCATTAATTAGTGCAAATATTTTGCAACTAGTTACCAAATTAATACAAATAACTGCATCGAAATTATCGCCTTGCCTAACTCCCCGACTCACCTCAGTGTCTGCACGGTATTGTACTGAAATTGACAAAGCTCACAAACAGTGCTCCTCGAGGTGCTAATCCAACGCTCCAGGCAATGAATGTGCACATATGTGAGCGATCCCTTGCACAAACATGGCGAAACTAATCTGTAAATAGAATTTGTTTTAAAATATACGAAATAAAAAAATTGCGTTAATAATATTTGATTTAAGTAAAAATAAGTTAGCTGCATGCATTTGCATATATACATACAGTGCCGGCAAAAATATTGGCACAGAGAATTTTTCGCAATATCTGCAAAGTTTTTATTCTAATTTCTTTTCGATAATTTTTTATAAAAATATAGTTCGTCCTACACCAAAAAACATAAAAACTAAATCTCTAAACTTCGTGCGAAACTCAGGAAAATTCAATAAATTTGCAACGTTCTATTCAGATTTTTTTAAAAAATTCTAAGGTTCTTCCAAACAAAATACGTTCGACAATTATTTTCTGTATGGAGAAAATGAGCAACACCTTCCCCTAAAAAGTTCCAAAAATCAACGCGATTTTTTAGATACTTCAAACTTGCACTTTGCACTAAAATTAGATGGGCTATAAAACTGCGTACTTAGAATTTTTCTAAAAAATCTGAAGAGAAATTTGCAATTTAGTATGCAAATTTATTAAATTTTCCTGACTTCTGCACAAAGTTTAGAAATTTTGTTTTTATGTTTTTTCTTGAAGTACGAAATATATTTTTATTAAAAAATATTAAAAATATATTTGAATAAAAAAATTTTGCAAATATTGAGAAAAATTCTCTTTGCCAATACTTTTGTCCGGCACTGTATGTATGTGGCTATCAAAAAAAAAAAAAAGCGTTGGCCGTAGGGTATAACATGCATTTATGCAAATACATTAGGCCAGGTCGCAAGAAAAAGTTTCTCCAATAAGAATAAATATTATTGAACACGCGAATTTCTCTTTCACAATGTATCGAATGCCGGCTGAGTTGTTGCATGCAAAGATGCCCTAGGCAACTCTCGAGCTCAGATGATGCATATTATGGAATGCCAAAAGAGCAGAAGTATTTGGGGCTATCTTAATATGGAAAATTAATTCAATCGCGATTTCGAAATCCGATGGAACTGGCTGGGATCTTAATATCGTTTGCAACGATGACCACATTCGATCGACGATCTGCAAAGATATTTAAAAAGTGGGCATTAAAGCAAAAGCTGTCGTCTTTCTTTCCTCAGAAAGTTCTATGGAATCCCAGATTACTACAGCAAGGCAACAAAGCTGATATGCATGATCGACCAGTCTATATAAAAACCTCGCCTTCGTCATGGACTTACTTGATATGCGTTAAGGAATATTAAAGATCCCTACAAACTCTTCGCCAGCAAACAGGAAATTTCTACTGAGTTCCGGGAGAAAGTGTTATTCCGGAAAATTAGAAAGCAGGCAAGTACCCGAGAGGTAGATCTGAAATAGATTGGGGAAGCGGTTAAAAGCATAAATGCGCCAGCGAAAGTGATAGCTAAATCAGGCACCGAAACCAAAAAAGCTTTTACGCCCAAGTAGCAGCCCCAACTAAATTTAGCTCGAGCTGATTACTTACGGCGTTTAAAGGAGTTACACCCTAATCAGCTTACATTTGTTGCAATAGACGGCAGGGCCTAGCTGTCCAAGAAAATGGCGACAAACTTGCCAAGCCTTAAAACACTTAGTTTAGAAAAGGCAGCCTTCAGCTTTATCGAATACCGCTGTCAGGAAAATACTTGCAACACCAAGCAAATAGATTTATATTCTTAATCCCAGGTATTCAGAGAAAACGGCTGGTCCAACTCCGCTTTACATTTCGAAAACATGGATGTACAGATGTTGCAGCCAGGCGGAAGTATAAAGTTCCCCATGGAGCGTTAACAGCGGATCGCCCTAATCGGAATTAGTGGAGCATTAGAAACCACATCTACACTGGCGCTTAACGTCATGTTGAACACGGCACCTGCGGAAATTGCAGACGGAATTGTCGTAGCACGAACTGTTATTAGGCTCAGAGAAACCGGATGGCAACATTATGGAGCTCAGGAGGGCTGTGACTTCGCCCTCAACACGCCGGGTCACAGTAACATCGCGGGAAACAGGAGCAACATACTCAAAATACTGAAAAAAGAATACATGATTATGCAAAAGATTTTGAAGTTTTACTATATGGGTCTATGTCTTTTATCCTGCATTGGAAACTTTCCATCTTCAGACGATGACCCAGAAATCGAGAAATTGGACCGTGCGACTAAAAAATAACAGCCAATTTCACGAAAGCAATTTACATACATAAGTGAAAAATTATTTTGGTTTTTTTTTTTTAGTTTTATAAGGAAATTGACAGAACATAAAAAATCGTTTTACATTTAAATCGCTGGTTAAATCGGTTAGAAGCAATTGCTTTTTATTAAAATTTCAGATATTTTATTTAAATTTATTCGAATACCTCGAGTAAAAGTGATGACATTTTAAGAAAAAGCAGCGGTTGCTTCTCACAGTGACACACTAACGGAACATTTATGGGATCGGAAGACGTGGAATCCATCAACCTCTTTCCATGCAAACGCTCCGCATTACGAGAATGGTGGATATTAATTTTTTTTTTTTCGAAAGGCGATTGACCCGGCCTAATTTTAATATAGACGTATGTATGCCTGAATGTACATATGCTTGCATTATGTAAATAATTTTGAAAATGCTATTTTTTGAATTGATAACAACCAAGTTTTAAACAAATTGAAACTATCATATGTATTTGCCACACAGGCATATTAGATATTAAAAAAATTAACTAATTATTGCCCTTTTTATGCAAATTCAATTAAGTAATAAAATAAATATTGTGCTAGTCATTCGATGCTATGTCCATAGCGCGAAGATAAGTTACAAATTTGCATTTAAAAATTTGATATTTGTGTATGCTAATAACTTGTAGCCCTTAAAAAGGGTAAATGCTGTGGGGCCTTAAAACTGTTTTGCTTTTACTGAAAGTGCATATGTATATACAATTTTAAGAATGCCTTACAAACTCCTTTTATTAAAAAAAGGATACATAAATTAATTTTCCTTTTACTAAAGTCTACCTAATTTGACTTAAGAGGAGCTCCATGCCCTATTAGAGTTAAATCTTTAATGCATAATTTCCACCACTCACCTTTCTGGATTCTCCGAATTATGGCAAATGCGGCAAACTAGCGAACCAATCGAACGTACCGACTCCGTGGGTGTAGTCTGTGGTGGACCCTCACCACTGCCACTCGCTCCGCTTGCCGCCATTTCACCACCTTCCGCCTTAGCTGCCATAGTAGCATCTCTAACCGCAGCTAAGCTCTTCATGACACCGCCGCTACCAGCTTGCAGCATCAATTCCCGCGTCGCACGACTTGTATTGCAATCCAATTCGACGCGCGCCGTTGTTATCGTTTGCTCAGAATGCTCCAACAAAATCCGGTCTAGTGTATGTTCGCCCGCAAATATTTTGCCATCTTCTGCCAATTGCATGGTCGCTAATGTCTTCAGTGCACTGCACTCCGATTGATCAGACTGTAGCGTACAATCGGAGTCATCGGATTTTTGGCTTAATGGTTTATCATTGGACTCCGCACCCAGCTGTACTCCGATTACTTGGTTGATTATTGCCATTGGATCGAAAGCTGATGCTCCTGGTGTTGTTGAAGTGGCGCGTTCCATAGCAGTTGATGTTTTTTGTTATTGGTGTAGCTGCTGTCTTTATGCCTTCGCTCTTTTCGGTAATTACATGGACTCTGGCTGTCGCCCTAGCTGCTAGCGTAGCAAGCGTTGGTAGAGGCAACTGCTCTTTCGCATTTGAATGCTCTATAAGAAGGGGACAATTACATATAACAAAATAAGTTGCTTGAATTTAAATAACGTTTTGACTGGACAGTTTCCGAAAAGTGCAACTGTGGTTTTTATTTCTACGTACCATCTTCTTTACTGTTGTTGCTTTTACCGGCTCTAGCTTCTTCCATATCGCTAAGTTTATCAATACCTTCTGCAGAACTCAAGTGTTATCCGTTTGGCGTAAACAATTTTTATTTAGTTTTATTTTAAACAATTTATGTACAAACAATTTGGTTTAAAATATTTCCGACAGAATGGGTTTTTGAGTTGTTCTTTGCCTTGATTTTTTTTATAATTTTTTGTTTGAGTGTTTCAGTTTTTATTGAAATGTAAAAGTTAAGCTAAGTTACGTATTCAAAATTAAGCGGTATACCGTATACGCGTACGTATTTTAATAGCTTATTTTCTACGCAATTCACGTAAATTCTTAAGCACTTCTCCTAGAATTCTATCTCCTTCTCATCTCTGCAGCTTCTGCAGAAATCGTTATACAGAGCTGCAAATATAGCGGTCATGTACCTAATGGTCCATTGTCCCGTTAGGATTCCTGTAAGAAGCCTAACGTTTAGCTTTCAAAGTCTTAATAAACTCCGCGTTCTTCGTTCGCCCTGCACAGAGCGAGCGCAATACCATGAAGGTCTGCGGATTTTTCCACCTACTGTTGGTCGCTGCCCTAGTTACTCTCTCAACTTCTGAACACGGAAATCGCAGGGGAGGTTTAACGAGCAGGATCGCTTTCCCAAGTCCCATCTCAGATCCATTTCTAGCACATTCGTCTGCCTCCTCATTTCTTAGGATACTACTATGTCCCGGGATCCAGTCAATATTGATTATGTGTTGCTATTAATGCATTTTGAGTTAGGCGTTCCCGATCCTAAGGCTTTGATGGCAACTTGAGTCTCAACAACAAAGTCAAGTTTAAATGAACTCACCAGCCTTGCCGCCACGCCGATTGCATATACCTAAACCTGAAAAACACTGCAGTGATCAGGGAGTCTATAGAACTCTGTTAGAGAAGAAGACGCCAGATTCTGTTCCGATATCTATTTGGAGCCGTCTGTTAAAATGGGTTATCGCTGCGAGCAATATTAAATCTTGGTAGCTTATGTCGGGAAAATATCCATCGATGTTTCCATTGAAGTTGACTCTTGCAAGTTCTATATCTAAGAATATCTAGGAGTATCTCTGTCGCTGCCTGGGGCTTTGAATAAATCGCTGCTGTTTTAAATAGGCATACATGCCGTTGCCCCTTTTGCAGGTTGAGTAGATTCCTCTGGTGGTAGCAAGAAAAGAGGAAAGCCTTCTCTGCGATGGAAAGATCAGGTGGATTAGGACTTGGCTTCACTTGGCATTTTCAATGGCGGGATTAGTTGTGCTTAGGAAGTGGAAGTGCAAGCAACTGACATCAGATACTCACCGCCCCGACTACCTTCGATAAAGTTTCTCGTCGAATGTCTGAGCTCTTCAAACATTTTCTAATGGGTTTTTTTAATTTAGTAAAATTCAAACCATTCATTCCATTTTTCAGTCAGAAAAAGGTGTCAATACATATTCGTATTTAAAAAATGTATACTCTAAGGTTTGAAAATGAATCCAACTCAACTCCAGTCGCCCTTTATGCGCCTGAAGAGGTAATCGAACTATCATTTTTAGTACTTTAATAAAATCAATACAAATACCCGGCGAAGGGTAAAACGAAGGGGCAGCAAAGTTACCAAGAATTTTCATTTCCATATTTTCATCAGGAGAAATAGCCAGTAGGAAAAAACTGGTTGGGTCAACGAATTTTCTTCTCTACTCCTGCTATGTAGTTGAAATTATTTAAATATGCAATGCTTACATTCAGGCGCCAAAAAAAATTGCACGAATTTCCTTCAGGGTGCAAAAGTAATAAGAAACGTTTCATGATAAACTTTACAAATGCCGACCATCATGTCCGTTGGCTTAACGCACATTTATTGTAGAATACCTACTTTTGTGGCCGGAAATGGTACAACTTCGACTTCCTGTTTACTTTGATTTATCGCTCGGCAAGGTTTTTCTATAAG